ACTGCTATTATCAGGAGAAATCACCTTGGGATCGTTTGATATATACAATAATAATATTGAATGTTTTAAAATGGAAACTTATCCAAAACAGAAGCCGAAACCGATTTGAAAACATTTTTTATGCGAGTGTCGTATATACATCTAAAAAGAGATTGGGTCCCTATCTGTTCAAGATGTGTCAATGTCACTTACCCTGTTTTTACCGAAGGTGCAAATTACGAATAAACGAGGTGGGTTTAGTAAACTCCGTGATGGAGTTGGAAAATTTCCTTAAAAAATAAAAAGGTGTACTCCCACTCCCACCGTTTATGTTAGGCACCTACTAGTCATGTACAAGGAAGATAATGTTTTAAAATTAAACAAATGCCCGCGCTGATAAGCGAGAAAATATTAAAATAAATGAATACAAAAAAAAAAGAAAAAAAGAAGAAGAATAAACAGTATTTTTTAATATTGGAAAACAATTCCGATAACTACCTAAGTATATTATAATAATTATAGTTATGGTAACAAATTAAAACGATAGTTGACTAACTTGCAAGTGAACTAAGCCTAAGGATTTATCACAGTAAAAATGCATTTTTAATTTAAATTTGCAGCGTGATCAAAATGGGAAAGTGTCTGTTTTTTTTTTTAACGGTTTGATTTGAAGAAGCACCCTACAGTTTTTAGTAGTTTTTTTTTTTAATAATACAAATAATTCAATAATGAAATAATACTAAAAATGAATAACATTATTACGTTCACTAAACGTGTCCGTATGATTTACCTTCGTTGTTAAACTATAAAATTTATTCATATTGGGCAATTCATAACATTCTCAGCTACATCATTTATATGTTGCACCAAATTCGTATATTTATATATTCAGTGGGATTGGGAGTTCACATTAACTGTAGTGGACTCAAAGTAAGTTAAAGCACAAAACGAAGTCAAGAGCGTAAGAAAAGAATAAAAAAGAACAGAATAAAAAAAAAAAAAGCCTGGAATATCAATTTGTATAAACTGTTGCATGAACGTCGGGTGTTGGGCTTGACAGGTGCCAGGCTGGGAGGGACTTTTAGTTGGTTGTAAAAGTTTATTGCAAAGAATGTGAAATAGATATGGTGCATATGAAAAGTAGAAATATCGAATAAAATAAAAATAAATGAATAATAATATGGAAAGGAAATTACAAAGATAAAATGTTGTGTGAAGAGAAAGATTTAAAAAGAAAATTAAAAAAATCATTTGTAAAAAAAAAATTATTTTTTTTAAACAATAAGATTAAGAATAAACATTAATAAAAATTAAATGTACTTTTTGACATTACTTACCCTTTTGTTGATATAAAAAAATATATATTCTAAAATATATATGTATAAATAAATATTTATTTAATTTATTTATAAATATATATTATATGGATATATACGTTTCTTTGCATCTAGAAATACATCAGTACAAGAAGTTCAATTTTTTTCCCCGATTTTTCTTTTATTTAGTTGTAGTAGTGAGTGTAATGAAGGTCCATTTGAATGTTTTGGTATGGTATGAACAATCCAGTCAGCGTCGTTGATATAAGAAACAAGTAACACAATTTGATTCTGGCTATAACAGGTTAAAAAAAAAAAAAACAAATCCTCGAAATTAGGAAAAATGAAATAATGTAAGATGAGGTACCGCCCGATTGAAGGAAAATTCTCCGCAATCTGTGTTCGTATAGATTCACTCAACGAAGAAATGTTTTTTTTTTTCCTTTTTTTTTTTTTTTTTTTTTTGCTTATTTTCTAACACAGCACCTTTTTTTTTCACTAGCTTGTATTAAAAATCTCTCCCCATCTCTCCTGTTCTGTTTTTCATGAGTGGCAGGGAACGCGCTCAGAGCTCAGGAGTGCAGGAGATGAGAAGAGGAAGAAAGGAGACATAACGAAGAAGAAAGAAAGAAAAAAAAAAGTAAAGAAAAGGCAAAAAAAAAAAACAACAAAAAAAAAAAACACTTTCTTTTCCGGCTTGGTCACGTGATGGTAATTCAAATCGCCGCCCTTCGCTCTGTGATGACGTCACAGAGTCCTTTTTTAGTTGTTTTTTAATTAAATTTCGGTAAAACAAATACTGCGAAAACTTTTCATATCAGGGGAAAGAAAAGGTATTTTTTGTCCCATTTTCCATTTTTTTTTCTGTTTTATTTTTCTTAAAAATATTATTTCGGGTTCTACTTTCTTATACAATAATGCACCTCACTGCATATGTGTGACTGTATCTATGTCAATGTGTATGCGTCACTATATTTACTTTTGATTCAATTTTTTTTTTACTTATAACTTGTAATTACGTTACTACACTGTGAGGTTTGCTTTTGGCAGTGTCAACTATGTCGTACATTTGCTTCTGGAAAAAAAAAAACTCTGCGCGCATGCGTGTGTGTATTCGCGCACATGTGGTGTTATTTCTTCTCTTTTGTATTCACCTTCAGACTCGCTTCCGCGTCTGTGCAAAGTGCGTTTTTTTTTTGGTAGGGGAGGGTATTCACATATTTTTACGAGCATATCTATCTATCTATCTATCTATCTATCTATCTATCTATCTATCTATCTATCTATCTATCTATCTATCTATCTCTCTATCTATCTATCTATTATAAATTGGTAGATAAATAATCACTCTCTATCTATCTATCTATCTATTCATCTATCTATCTATCTATCTATCTATGTATGATAAATTGATAAATAATGTATCTATCTATCTATCTATCTATCTATCTATCTATGTCAGTTTGTTCAGATCTATCTATCTATCTATCTATCTATCTATCTATGTATGATAAATTGATAAATAATCTATCTATCTATCTATCTATCTATCTATCTATCTATGTCAGTTTGTTCAGATCTATCTATCTATCTATCTATCTATCTATCTATCTATCTATCTATCTATGTCAGTTTGTTCAGATCTATTTATTCATTCATCTATCTATCTATCTATCTATCTATCTATCTATCTATCTATCTATCTGTGGTTTTGTTTTAATGGAAATTTCTCTGTGCGTGTGCGTGTGAACGTGAAAATACAATCTGTTGAGCGTTTTTTTCTTTTTTCTTGTCGACGTTGTCAGTTAGTGAGAAACAAACTGAACATGTTTTAATCGCTTGGCTTCTGCGCATCTAAATGTCTGCTGTTTATATATTTAATTTCATATTTCTGTAGCTGTATCTCATCAACGTATATATTTATTTATGCGCTTTAATAGAAGTAAAGTCTATCGCTTTCTCTCTCTCTCTCTCTCTCTCTCTCTCTCTCTCTAGGCGTGTGCGTTCTGCAGGTTTGTGGCACGTGAGGTCAATGCTGTTCGATGCCTTCTCATCAGCAAGGTTTTCTCAGAAAGAAAGATTCTAGCGCGCATATAATTCCTACACCTGCGAGTCCTTCTTTTTCTTTTCTTTTTTGTCTATAATTTATACGTCTATCTTTATACCGAGCGGATGTTGCCATGCAAGTTAATTACGAGAGAGAGATAGAGATAGAGATAGATAGATAGATAGAGAGAGAGAGAGAGAGAGAGAGAGAGAGTGTAGGTAAAGGAAAAGGAAAGAAACGTAAAACGCACATGGAAATTTGAATGTGATAAGGTGTATTTTAATTGTAATCCAATTGTGTACCTGTCTTTGTTAATGTGTGTGTGTGTGTGTGTGTGTGTGTGTGTTGTATTTTATTTTTGTATATTTGCATATAAGTTAGGAAAAAGTTAAAAAGAAATGAAATGATGAAAGACAAGTAAAAAATAAAAAATTTAAAATAGATATATGAATGGAAATAGATAGATAGATAGATAGATAGATAGATAGATAGATAGATAAACCACACACTAAGACATCCACAGAACGCACACACTCAACTAAGCTGATAATCGAATCATCCTTGATAATGGCTAAAGGTATAGCCGAAATTCTTACACACCCTTTGTCCAGAAAAGAAAGCTCTTGTCAGAACACAAGAAAAATTAAATAAAAAGCTCAACCGTAGTACTTTGTCTGTCGTTTTTAATGAAACATGCATAAAGGAAGGATTGCTGCCTAAATATACAACTATAGATAGATAAACAGACAAATATAAAATATAAACAGATTTAGTCAGATAGATAACCTAACCACAGAGAGAGACATAAACAGACTTAGATACAGACTTAGATAGAGAGCTATTTAGATACAGACTTAGATTATGAACACTAACAGACTGAACTGAAATAGATAGAAACAGCGAGAGATAAATAAACATAGATTATGAAAGGACTTGCTTATTTATTTATCGAGAAATATATATATATATATATATATATATATATATATATATATATATATATATATATATGAGAGAGAGAGAGAGAGAGAGAGAGAGAAAGAGAGAGAGGGAGAGAGCATAGAAAAAAGGAAAATTGCCATTAAACTCTTAAGTGAAGTTTGTCTAGAGAGTATCAGGCGCCCGTTCACATGCACACAGCCACACGCTCATATCAATTGACGGGATATGCAAAAAAAAAAAAAAGAGAGGGTGTTCGCCCCCGCCTATAACCTTTGAGGTCTCCGCTTTTATATTTATTTATTTATTTATTTATCGCTATTCCTTTCAGCCTATTCATCCCAGCCGCAACGGATCAATCTTTCTTTTCCTTTCTTTCTTCTTCGTCGCCGTGATTTTTTTTTATTAATTTAAAAACCAAGCGTTTTAAGCCCCAGTTATTTAAACTAAACTCTTTAACGTCTTCAACTTTTCCTCCCCCCCCAGTAGTTTTGTGTTATGCAGTTACAGGTCACCCTTTTTCTTGTCGTTTTACGCCGGTCACAAGGGCTAGCATGTTAGAAATAAATAAATATCAGTGCTATCTTTATTACTTCTTTTAGATGTAGCTTTGAGCTGCTGATTCATCTGATATGACTTTTCACAGTCAACTCATTTGGGAAAAAGAAAAACGTCCGTTTACACCCAGAAAATAAACTCTTTCTATTATCAATAGCCTCCGATCAAATCACGCTGAAAACAAACACAGGTTCTCGTTCGATCACTGGGGTTAAGCGGTGTCGAGCCCGGTCAGTACTTAGATTGGGAACCGCTTGGAAACACTTCATACTGTCAGCAACCACCTACAATCTGAAATATGTTTCGACTTTAAACAACTCACAAAGAGTTGAAGACATATCCCTTTCGTATATAGGCGACTAGCAGCATGGCCCGGCGTTGCCCGTGCTTGATTAAAAAATCATACGACTCATACAGCAATCGCTATCACTTGACTTAAAATATTTTTGCCCTTCCTTGCCTTTAAACGAGTGCCCTTTGCCGTGCTGATGTTGCTACATGCCTTACTTCTTGCCTATCTCACACTGCGAATTTTTTCTAAGCTATATACTAAACATTAAATCTGTTACGAAAAAAGAACTAAACAAAATGAACACAAAACGATCAGCTTTAAAAAAGGACTTGTAACTGGAAAAACTGAATGAAAAAAGAATGTTAACAACAAATATTTTTTCACACCCAACCCAGTTCTGCGGAATCAGAATCAACGTTGAGTTTAAGAAAGCGAATGAGCCAATTGGAGTAAAGTGTCATGCAGATTTAAATTTTTCTCACTTGTGACGAATGCAGCTATCGGTTTTTTTTCGCATGCTAGCATGCTAGTTAACATTCGTGTCAGTCAGCTGTTGACTCTCACGCTGGCCAATAGAATCTTCCTGCCTATTCGTGGCAGCCAGCTATAGGCTCTCACTCTGGCCAGTAGAAAATGGCCGCAAACTACATGAAAACTGCCGAACAAGGATGAAAAAATCGATTATTTCCACTATCGATGGGAGTTGGGAAATGCAAAGTCGGTCTTGGCCTTCCCGCTAACTTGGAGCATGTGCATGTAAATTTTGGTGCAAATCCGTCGAAAATTGCGGCCGCGCATTCGTTACACACACACACACACACACACACACACACACACACACACACACACACACACACACACACACACATCCTGCCTTTTATTTTTATAGATAGAGATCATGGTTTTCCACAGCTTCCCATGCTTATTTTTTTTAAACTGGTTGTGAATTGTCATGGTTTCTTGGGCAAGATAGTGAAAAATTAGCTGCTAGCCAAGGTTAAAGAGCCGAATTTACTCGGCTGTTTAACCTATAGTTGCGGCAAGAAGAGATGAGTTCATGCCTTCTGAAGGACATTTGTGCGAAAAATGAACGCAAAAGACTTGGTCGGAATTTGAACCCATTTCGACAGTTTCATTTTCTTTGCCAATAACTGTTATACTGTCCTTACACAACGAATCAGTAACGTCAAGATTTCTCTTCGTTCAAAAAGATTATTTAAATTTTCACTATTTCTTCACTTTTTACGTGTCGTGTCCCTTCAGGACGTACGTGAACATGACTCCCCACTTCCCCATATCCCTTGTAGGTCTCAATACATTTTGTCCTTTTGCTACTTTTTCCAAACCCTGTTCCGCCACCCACATGCTTAAGCCCGCTAGATATGAAACGCGTTGCTTTTCCTTGTCTCTTTTTCCTTCTATTCACCCTGTAAGCATCAGATTTTTCAAGCCTTCCTTTCTCATTACGTGCACCAGAAATTTCAGCTGCCTCTTCTTGATGTTAAGTATAAGTTTCCCCTTTGTTTGCATCCTCTCCAAAACCTCATCGTTGCTCATATGTTCGGTCCATGGTATCGTTAGCATCCTTCTGTAGAACCACACCTCAGTTGCCTCGAGTCTCTTCTTCATTTTTGAGAAGACCGTCCAACATTCGTTGCCGTAAAGGAGAACAGATATCGCGTAGCAGTTCAGTACTCTTTTCTTTGTTACCAAAGAAATCCCCCTGTCTGGTAATACTCTAGTCGAAGTTAACTCCTCCTCAATTGTCCAAATTCTTCACTATACTATAAATACTGGGCGATTTCTTGCCTCGTCCTCTATTTCATTTTTTCATTTTCAACGAACACATCTACAATGTAAACTCTCGCAGAAGATTGCGTCTTCTCACTTGTGGGAGACGTCATGAACATTAAACACACATACACGTACGTACGAACATTCAGCAAAATACAAACTCTTTACGTTCATACACAAACACAAATGGTAATGTCTATGTCCATTGTAAATTTTGTTGTTTAATAAATATATGTGTTGATATATATATATATATATTGTTATTGAGGGGTTCTCCCCTTTTTACACAAACAGACTCACCCAGTATATACATATACTAAGGCTACGTGAAGACCCGAGAGAGCAAGACCTCCGAGTCTAGCTGAGTCGTGATATAGTCTTTGACTGTAAGCGACGTCTGTCGAACTCTCTGCGTTAGCAGAGAGGAACCCGGACGAAGCTTTGCCGAAGGGCAAGGTTTCGTCCGGGGAGGTAGACAGGGCCTGAACCCGTCTAGGCGGGTTCAAAGGCTATATTTTTGGCCGAGCCTACGGGCTCGTAGATACCCACATTAAACCGGCCTTGTGCCACATTCAATTCTCGTGGGTGGATCGATAAATACCGAGCAAGACCGAAAAGTCGAGTCGAGTCCAGAGTGACGGAGTAAAAGGTTGTAGGTAACCGGAAGAGTGAGGGTGAGGTAACAGTGTTGTAGGAGTCACAGTGAGCGAGCACGTAGACTCAGTAAGAAATACTTCAATACCAAGACTGTATATATATTTTGCTACTAACCCGTATTCCTGGAAGTACTAACCTGCTTTACCAGTTGTATTATTACGTTAATACATTATTTTCATATATTCATACCTGGCGTTTGCTATTTATTGGTACCGGATTTCAACCTGGAATCACAACATATATATATATATATATATATATATATATATATATATATATATATATATATATATATATATCGGTCTTGTTGGTTTTCTTTACACTTCTTTATGGTGGATTCAATCTCTGAGTCCGTCATGTTCTTGTAGTGGACCTTTTAACATTCTAGCAGGAATAAACGCACGTGTTCCTAACTTAACAACACGTAAACCCCTGGTCCGTTACACTCTGCCTAACTTTTGGAATGCGTCTTTGGCCATTCCAAAACGTCTTCGGATCTTAGTATTGCACTTACCGTCCTCTTTCAGAACACTTCCCAGATATTTAAACTTCCGCACCTGCATGATCTTAGTGTCCCCAACCTGAAAATTGCATTCCAGGCTCATCTTTTTACTGATGACCATGCATTCTGTCTTCTTGTAGTTTATGCTTAGTCCTTTCTTCTCGCTCTCCTCCGTTACTTTCTGAAGGAGGTTTTGTAATTTCCTTTTCCGTGCCTGCTACGTCAAAACTAAAAACAGCTATGGATCCCAGACAACTCCTGTTTTTAATGTTGTCTTGCTATTCCTTTCATCAGAAAATCCTAGTCAAGGAAACCGGTTTATTCACCGATGACTCAAGCATACGGCAAGCAGTACTGAGTTACATGATACCAACGGGACTTGATCAGTGACCTGACCTATATGACAATTTCATATACAAATCTAATTAATCACTTTTTAAGATTGTAGATAGGAAATTTTATTTTATTTTATTTTTTAATCATTTCACTCCCCGACGCAAGGCATTAAGTAGTACAAGGAATCTGAAAGAATAAGAAAAAATCTCAAAAGTCTCAAAAAATTGCTCAAAATGGGTTTTGCCTTAGTTGATATTTTTTAGTCATTTCACCCCAAGCAAGGCAGTAAAGCCCCTAAGACACAAGGGGTTATTGAGTGTGAAAGAATAAGAAAAAATAGAAACAGCGAAAACAATAAAAGAAGAGGAATCAAGAAGACAGTAAAGAAAAAAAAGAAGAAAAAAAAAAGAAAAAAACTTTTAACCACAAAACGGGTAGGGATACCTGAATAATATATGTTCACCGTTTATCGGGACAGCTGAGTTTTGTCTTCGTCGAGTCCAGCTCTAAAAAAAAAACAAACAAAAATATAACAACCCCACCAAAAAAACCAAAAAAACAAACAAAAACAAATATATATTAAATAATTTCTTTCGCTTATTTCTTAAGTCGTTTAAATGAACCGATGCGAACAGTCAGCGTCAATTAGGCAATATCTACTATGTATCTGTCAGGGCTGCTAAACAGTGTATAACATTACCCGAAGCACAAAAATGACGGTGTGACGACCCTGGAGGTAATGAAATACATGAATGCACGCTGCGTATTTTAGTGAAAGAAGGTAATGAAGGCTGACCGTCACCTTCACAAGATACCTGCACTGATTTAAGACCCGTCGCCGTCAGAATGTTTTGAGTGGTGAGAGAAGCAGACTTTAAGTCGAGAAGCCGCGAATGAAAGCATTCTTTATGCTAATGCATTTTATGTGAATTTTAACAACCCGTTTAGGGTAAAAAATGACTGCGTCTTAGATTGAAAAAAAGTCATAAATAAAAAGGAATTTTGTTTAGGATTGACGATATAAGATTTTTTTCTTGGCCAATATGAACAATGGAAAGTGAAATATCATCAAGCGCTGGAAATGTGTTCGATAAATGGTTAATATTGTAAGAATTACAACATTAAAATTAAACGTCAATGAAAAATTCCAATAGTTTAATTTCTGTTTATCATTATTTAAATCATTTACATACGGTCTATTGATCTCATCTTCATTGTTTCTGTTACAAGGTTTAGGCCGTTGTACTCTCTGACCTTAATCAGGTGTATGTCGATCCACTTAACTTACAGCGAATTTCGAACTGGACCCATTACTTATGTACTTGGATTCAGTGGAAACGGGACCAGCAACCATTGACCTGTACTAAAATAACTAGACGATATATCCCAGGACGTGGGTCGTGGAATTAATAACTATAAATCAAACGATTTTAAAAGGTGGGGTAGGGTCCCCAAGCACACCATGACGACAGACCTGCAACAAGCATACGGAAATGATTGTAGTTCATTAGAAATTTAAAATTGACTGGACATTCTTCTAAATAAGAAATTAAACAAACAAGGAATCTGTATAGAGCGATGAAATCCCATGTCCTGAAACGATATGGCTTTAAAAGTTAAAAAAAAAAATACTTAAAGTAACAAAAATTTCTTTAATTGAATTTTGGAAAATAAAAAGTAACAGAGTAATAGAAA